TGTACAATATGAATCTCACACAATGTAACTGTTATAAATCAAATGAACAATTTATAGGATTTTACTGACCAAAATGAATATCTGAAGGTTCTTTCCACATGTTTGAAAATTCCCCAGCAGTATTCATCTTCTGTAAGCTTCGTACATATCCCAACCCAGACTCTAAAACCAATAAAACTTTGTCGTCCTTATCTTCTGGGCGTCCTTGGGTAGCCCTTGCCAGCTTACAGCGTCTATATTATACACTTCACTGGGCTGCGATACAAAAATATTCCGCCCTCATATTGCGTGAAAACGAGGTAATACACGTTGCGTTGCGACCTAGGCTTCTTCCACTGGCTCATAGGCTCCCTGTCCTGTGACTTTCATTACAATCAGTTCATTACTTTTTTTTTCGTAATGCTGTGCACAGACAAACTAACGGTGACAAAAATATAACCAACAACGTCGACGAGGTAAACCTGGAAGGAAACATCAAATTTAAATGCAGTCAAGCAGTAACTGAGAAGGGAAAAATTGCTCTTTGCAATTCATTTGGGGTGTTGGGCAACATGGTGTGGCCGATACTAAACACGGAATATTTCAATATATAATTTTTTTGTTTCTTTCTTGTTTTTGGCTGTTAAATGATAAGAAAATGTTAATAAACTTATATAGTTTCTGTGAAATTGTTACATTTATTTAAATTCAGCAGTAAAGGAAATAAAAATACATGACTGATTCTAATTTTTGAAACAACCATTACGGCCATTATTTGGACCTCCGTAACTTAGGAATCATCATGTTTAAAAGTCACATCCCGTCAGTGTTCTAGTGATGTCACGGTCTGCAGCGTATATGTTCTCCACTTGTACCTATCAGGGCAAAACATTCCGACGGGTGACCCAAGTCTGCTGAGACAGTCTGTGTATATAAAGTAATGCGCACATTTTAACTTATCATGTTTACCTTCAAGTTTGTCATGTTTGCCTTCAGGTTTATGTTCACCTTCAGGTTCTCTCCATGTCGTGGTTACTATGTGCTTATCATTAAGTCATAAAATGTTCAATTCATTTATTGCTGTTTTTGGGGGGTATAGCTATCATCAAGGCCGCTGCAGTCACAATTTTAGCGAACTAAATGTGGTTTAATTTATCATCATGTTTAACTTCAGGTTCATCATGTTTACCTGCGGGTTCTCTCCTATCCATGGCTTTTTCTGTACTTATCAGTTGACCTAAAATGTAGTAGATATCATGACACTCGAGAACTGCTTTGAATAAACGTCTTAATTGTAACCAACCCCAAAAAGTGTCCATAGTGAGTCATTCAAGATCGTACATCAAAAGAAACATGCATAAAAATCTTACTGAAATAAGAATACGAACAAGGGTTCAGTTGGCGCGTGTATTATTGAGATTCATGGTCGCCATATCGACCTTCGTTATAAAAGATTAAATGAAAATGTTGTTATTTAACAGGGCCACATATAGAAGTCATGTAGCGTGAGGGGAGGTTTCATCCAGGCCCGGATACTGGAGTTCATACAGGACGGTGACAGAACGGCGCCAACACATTTCCATAAAGGCAATGTGCGGATGTCGTTATTTTTAAAGCAAAGTCTAATTTAACTGGGAATTTCATAAGTGTTTTTGGACTTCATGCATTGCTGTTACGCCTTTACGCCTTTGAAATCATTATTGTCTGTGCTATTATTATCGCGGTTAGCATAGCGTCACGTACACAAGATAGTGGGTGTTCTTTGATTGCGGTAGCTGTGCCGCACTTTTAGCGCAATAATTGCAATCCATTCGTTAGGACATTGTGACGTGTTGAACTACAGCCTTAATTTGAATTTGTCTCGAGTAACTAAATAAATAGCTGACATGTTTTTTTATATAAACATATCTTGCCAAAAACACATGTAACCTTTCCCATTATAATATACAGCGGGGTGGTTAACACAGCGTAGAGATCTTATAGCAAGGCTGACGTCCAAAAATTTCCCCAAAGAACAGAAAAAAAGACCCTGTATATTTATGTGATTTGGGGATAAAATATAGAACCTCTTTTACGCAACATTCACTCAATTACAACTCTTATTTGCTTACGGTTACCTCACCAAAGAAAGTACTTATTATCTTAATCCTACCCAGCTTCAACTGCGAATGAGATGAGGTTCCTGTCGTTCTGCTGCATTATCTTTGTGTGTCGGAATTCTAGCTTTGTGTATATATTAGGGTGATGCATGCATGTATACATTTAGCCTATGAATATTTTATTACATCTTTATCAGCTTAAACGTTTGCCAACTTGTATTTATTTGTCTCTCGTATGTATCCATACACGAAATGGGCATTATGCATGGACACAGCTAGTGGTGAGTGAGTTCGGGTTGTGGTCCGTGTGTGGTCGGGGATGTGGGGGGGGGGGGGGGG